ATCCGAATACGTGGGAACAGCAGCTGCCACTCATCGAGTTCGCATACAATAACGCACCATCGGCCACGACGCAACAGTCGCCGTTTTACTTGAATTACGGACAAGACCCAACAGTACCCATGATACCGAATCCCGACAACCCCGTCCCACGAGCACAACAGTTCGCCGAGATTCTGCAAGCAGCACGGACCAGGGCAGCAGAAGCAATAAAAAAATCAAACATCATCGCTAAACGCAACGCCGATCGCCATCGCAGACCCATTACTTATCAGCCCGACGACCTCGTTTTACTCGACACTCAGAACCTCCGCCTGCCCATCACTCCAAAACTCCGCCCTCGATACTGTGGGCCATTTCGAATCAGTCACATGGTTACGCCAGTCACCGCGCACCTCCTCCTCCCTGCTGACTGGTACGTCAGCCCCTCGTTCCACGTCAGCTTACTTCGCCCTTACGTGCCATCCACCAGCCAACTCCCACGGCATCGACCCACCAGCATGACACGACCACCAACCGAACCAGTCATCACCCCCGACAAGATCCTGAGCCACAGAGTTCGCAACCCTCGAGGAGCCCGAAAAGTGGAGTTTCTGATCCGCTGGAAAGATCGTACCCCCACCGAGGACAATTGGGTCCCCCTGGAGAAAGTTGAAAATCACCCCGTCGTCACCGACTACCTGCGTAGCCGCAATTTCCGAGACATCCACGTGCTTTCATAAGGAGGACCTCCTTAGGAGGGGGGGTAGTGTAAGAAAATGTCAGAATCCCAACCACTAAACCATTGGGATAAAAGGGCTTGTTTAAGTAGCGGGTCAGTGCGCCCATAACCCCCCAGGCAACGTGCCTGTAACCCTTCCCTAGGATCAATCGGGGATCACCAGTGGACCTCTGACACCCCCCCGCATTGGGATGCCCGAAGTGCATACACCGGGATTCGAACCCGAGACCTTCGCTCTGATACCATGTCAGAATCCCAACCACTAGACCATTGGGATAAAAGGGCTTGTTTAAGTAGCGGGTCAGTGCGCCCATAACCCCCCAGGCAACGTGCCTGTAACCCTTCCCTAGGATCAATCGGGGATCACCAGTGGACCTCTGACAGAAAATTCCCTTTTCCTTACTTCGCGTCCCTGCTCAACGCGTACATCACTGTAGCACCTCAGTCAGCACCTTTACCACTCGCGACCATCGCATCATTCATCATCCCGCCCTTTTCGCACATCGCATCCCGACCTCACGGCTCGGCTGGTAACCCGCGCTCCGGACCTACGCTTCGACACTTTCCCAACCTCAGTCCCAGGCTCGTCGCGCGACCATTACCGTTACTACGGTAGTTTCGCTATATAATGTTCGCTCATGCCTTCGCTCATTTGTATTCTTGCTTCGATAGTGCGATTCTCGTTCGTTCACTCAATTGCACTCGTAACAGTAAGGCACCAAAAGAATGTTTCAATCACATTGGCGTCCACGTTGCGGAACCGTGGTGGCCGATGTCCAGCAAGGATGATTTTGGATCCGAAAGATTTGGATGAGCGAATGATGACGTATTGTGGTACCCGTGCCACGTACACGGTCTTCACGTTTTGGGCCAAACGTAGTCCACGTGTGCCCAAGATATAAATTCGTACTAAAAGAGCGATTTTGACCCGAGATTGAGGAGCTTATGTAAGTGGCTGCTATAGGACTCAAGTCTCCGACCCTCTCGCCTGACTCCGCTTCCTTGCGTCACTGTGATTACAGTCTGGCCTGCGTTCTCGCTGATCCCTTGAGCTGGCACCAGGTTCCAGCCCTGTCCATATTGAAGTGCAGCTCTATCTAAACAGGACCTAGTTCTCTCTCCAAGCTACCAACCAACCTCGGGTATTGCTCACCTGTGCTTTGCTGGCCTCGATCGACCCAGCCAAGCTCCAATCAACCTGACCAGATTTCTCCCTTGCATTCGTCGACCCACAAAACGAGGACAATCCACTTCAGTGACAGTCGGTGATTCCCTGGTTCATTGCTGAAGGCTGAACCTTAGGTGCTGCCATTCCCCACACACGGCACAATCATGTCTTCTCAGATCCTACTTGGATCAACCAGGGTCTCCACCAGTGTATCGTCTCTCTCCCACATTCGCTCCGCAGCGTTGTTAAGCAAGGCATCTGAGGCCTCGCTTTCCACCTCCTTCCTTCCGTCGACTCGCAAAGCATCGTTCTCTGCTGCCGGCTCTGCTGCGAGACTGCGCGTGAAGGGAGCAACTAGATCGCGCGTGGTGGTGACCGCCATGGCCGACAGCCAGGGGAAGCGAACTGTCCTTGTCACTGGCGCTGGCGGCAGAACAGGTTGAGCATTCCGCTGTGTTTCTTAGGTTCCTCGTCTTGTGTGTGTGTGTGTGTGTGTGTGTGTGTGTGTGTGTGTGTGTGTGTGTGTGTGCTCTTTTTTTTTGTCATAGTACCCTTTTTATCTATTTTCTTCGATGCACGGTCACATCTGATGTTGCTCATTCGGTTTGCATTCGTGCACGGTCATAACCGACTTCGATGCACCAAGTACACTCTCCGCATTTCCCTTCCACTTCGCCGTATCTCCACGTCATCCCTGTCATGACATCCTCAGGCCGGTTGGTGCTGGAGAAGCTTCAAAGCCGGCCGGAGTTTAACGCGAGAGGCATGGTGCGGTCGGATGCGAGCAAGGAGACGCTTGCACAGGCCGTGCCTGGCGCCGACATCGTCGTTGCCGATATCGTCCGCCCCACGGACAAGGCCTTCGCCTCTGCGTTCGACGGCGCCGAAGCGGTCATCATTGTTACCAGCGCCGTGCCGAAAATGAAACCTGGTTTCGACCCTTCTTCCGGTCAGCGGCCTGAGTTCTATTTTGAAGAGGGAGGGGAACCTGAGAAGGTAAGCCGTAGTCTAGTCGAACACTGCGAATAGAACGAAGCGTTGAACAGGAATGCAGAACAATGTTCTGGATTGGCCAGAGTGTTGAAACCTTGGAACAGCGAGGGTGGAGACTGAACCCAAACCTATGTCCCATAAGTGAAACCGCCGCTGCAGTGGCATTCTCAAAGACATTGTTTGTGCCGGTTTATGCACAATATGAACGTCTCCGTCTTCACTAATGGTCGTATTTACTTTGTTTCAGGTTGATTGGCTCGGCCAGAAAGCACAGATTGATGCCGGTAATTCTACTAGCCTTTTTGGTCTCATTGCTAACTTTCATGTCCAATATGCCGCTTCATTTGTCCAGCTGTTTTATTGTAATCGCGTTGGCTTTAGCAAGCGGCAGGCTGCTGGACTCTAGAGCTTCACTGAGCTCAGCCTTGCCCGCTTACATTCGGACCTCCTTTTTGTTATTTCTTCCTACTATTCTGCAGCTAGGCGGGCAGGAGTGAAGCAGGTGGTGATAGTGGGGTCTGCTGGTGGTACCAACGAAAAGCACCCCCTTAACTCTTTGGGCAATGGAAACATACTGGTCAGTTCACCCGCATAAACACTGTGGATATGCATCACTACTGAAGTTATGCTTCTGTGTGGCTTTTTGTTTTGTTTCTATCTTCTGTTTTTTTTTTTTCACTTAAGATTCAGTTGTCTGACCGCTCTTGTCCTGGACTCACTGCAGATTTGGAAGCGCAAGGCAGAGCAGTATCTTGTTGACTCAGGCATTCCGTACACCATAATCAGGTGAGTAGAGTAGGGTCAGTGAATACTGTATAAGCTGCCTTTCCTCTCTTATGTTCGTTGTCTGCTGTCAGTTGAAGAGACGCACCTTCAAACCCCCTACTCATGCTTAATTCTTTTGGTTCCCTATTGTACATTCCCAGAGCCGGTGGACTTTTGGATAAGGATGGTGGGAAGCGCGAACTGCTGGTGGGCAAGGATGACGAGTTCCTCTCCAGCAACACTCGCACCGTGCCTCGTGCAGACGTTGCTGAAGTCTGCGTGCAGGTATGCAAACTCGTGCCTTCACGTTTCAAGAATTTCATTGATTTGCATTTCCATGTGTGACTCTTCATTTCTAGCTCAGACTTGTTCTTGCTCGTGCGGAAACAATGACATGTACACATTCAAGGTGCATCGAGAATGGAGTCTCTAGGAAAGCATGGAGCAAACGTTTTGGTGAACCCTGTGCTCAATGAACCTTCATTGTGCCACGTCCTAAGCAAACTTATCTCCTCCCTCCATTGTGGCCATTTACAAACTTCTTTCCTGTTCACAGGCTCTTCTCTTCAATGAGGCAAAGAGCAAGGCTCTTGATCTTGTGTCACGTGAGGAGGGAGACGGATCTGTCACCACTGACTTCAAAGCTCTTTTTGCACGAACAACGCCCGGGATGTGAATCACCTTCCGCCAGCCTGCAGTGCAGTCCCAGTTTTGTGCTTCAAAAAATTTCTAGTGCAATGGCCAGGCATTGGAAGGCACACATACACGTGTTGCGGTAGTGCTTGCATTGAGTGTCAAGTTTTGTGCTGGAACCTTTTCAGATCAACCTTTATCCACCCAGCTAATGAGTCCTTGCATGCGCACCGGGACAGAAAGCAGTAAAACCAAATCACCGTTCAGATTTAGTTACTGATCTAGTCTAGCCAGATATCCCTTTCATAACACTGTCTGAATGACAAGGGTGAATACGTATTAGCTAGTTCAAAGCCGCTTACCGACATGACTTACTTCCATATAATCTGCATATCTCACGCACTTAGGGATTTGGTGTCGACCTGCATGCACCACGAGTCAAAGACCCCCAAACTGAATTTACCTTCCTAATTCGCACGGGCCAAGATCACGAATCGCCATTCAGACATCCAAAACCTCGGCTTATCGCGTCTTCGCCCCAAGTTCTTATCGCTGGTTTGGACGGTTAAAATGCTTGTATATTTTAGGCGCGATCGCAATCATTACACGATATACAAATTCCGGAAGCGTTTCCGTTCAAAACAATTTACATGTGAAGACTATGCACAACGGAAAACAATAATAAGTAACGGAAGAGACCTAAAACGGTCTGAGTGGCCAGTACTAATATTTAGACGAACTCCGCACTGTGATGCGAGCTTGAGCTGGCCGTCCTTTACCGGAGCCTCCACAGCTGCTGCACAGCATCCGCCCAGACCCGTGGCATGTACCGCAACCCACATCTCCGTCCGACCATCTGTATGGAAAAACACGGTTATTTGGAAGTTAGCAACCTGGGATGGGAACCATCCAGCAACTCTAAGTCGTCATTCATACAGATGATGCGGAACTTACTTGTTGCACATGCACGGGATCTTTCTCGTGCCGTGGCAAGTTGCGCAGGGGTTCATAGGAGGAGCCATGGAAGCCTCGTTATCCATCATAGACTTCACGGCTATCGCGCCGGCAGCGAGGCCGATACACTGAGCTATCAATGCCTGGGAAGCCATGATTGCAGGGGCCATTGTATTGAGAAACTTGGGGGTTCAGGTTAGCAGTAACGGACGATTGGGCTCACAGATACACCAGAAGCACGTTCTACAACAGGAGGTCTCCGACTCGAGCTCGAACTCTACGATATCTGCCACTCAATACTTCCTGTGGCTTATACGGAACAAACAGACTGACAAACTGAGGTAGAGCGCAAAAATTGTTTACTTGCTGCAGAGACTGGATGGTTCACGAACTAACGTAGAAAGAGGTGGGTGGGATATGTAGGGATAACACGCGGCAACCCGTCAGCGGTAAGCCAAACTGGAACCGTCAACCCCATTGCTCATGGACCGACCGTGTCTCTCGTTCGTGCAACAGGCCAGCCTGTGTTCGCCGTTGGTTCGCAAGGTAGTTAGTGGTGGAAGGCACACCAGCTCAGCCATTGGCGCAGTGAAGGCGGGCTTGACACGGATTGCAGGGCTTTCGTGGCGCGAGTATGCTTCACTCCCTTGACTGTCACGTGTCACTGCGAGCGTCCCAATTCGCGCAAAAAGCTGACGCCCAAGTACGACGTGGTTACCTGTGAATACGCCACGTTTAACAATGATATTTTGTGCCAACTCAAACCTGACAGCAAAGCACATAGCAAAACGATTTTATTGGGCCTACTTCGGAAGCTTGCGCGAATAGGGTAGGCTCCCGCTACTTCGGACCTATGGAAACAGTCTCGAGCGTGATCCCGCCTAGACTAGACTCGCTTCCGAACCTGGCCCACGCGCCCCGTCAAAGCCCAAGCCCAACCAAGATTGTTAGTTGTTGTTATGTATCGAATCAGAGTAGTAGCGCGGAATTCAATAACAGGACGTGACTCAAGAGTCCTAATACAAATGAAAGGCTACGGCACTTTATAGGCACAATTACGCTAGCCGAGAACCTCGCAACTAGGTTGGGGCGACTCGGGTGACGAAAGCCACGGAACAGCCCCGCATTTAGGTTTGGTTGCGCTAGAGTGGTTCGGGACCGAAAAGTTAGGCCGAGCCTAGCCTTCCGAAGTCCGAGGGCGTACGCGCTGTGGTTGAGCTCAGTAAGGAAAAGGATTTTCCTTACACCACCCCCCCTCCTGAGATGAGACTACCCACATCTGGGACATGTCGTCGGCGTAAATAGTCCCGAACTGCAGGGTGTGAACCGAGAGTGTCGGCCGAGATCCAGAGGTCGTCTTCGCTCGTACGATCGACCCATCGGACCAGGAAATCGACGGCTGCTGAAGCTCGTTGTCCCCGGACCCTGTGAGCCAGAATTTTATCCGGTTCGGTCGTGGGTTCGGGAACCGGGCGAACCGTCGGATACAGGCGTTGACGGTCGAGATCACTCGTGTTGGAGACGAACGGTCGCAGGAGACTGACGTGGAAGGAGTCGTGTATTCGCCAGTCGTCAGGGAGTAGTAGCTGGGCGGTGACAGGTGTCACCATGCGGATAATGCGAAAGAGTCCGCAAAATCTTGGGCGTAGTTTATTTGGGAGGGGCACCCCCAAATTTCTGGTGTCGAGCAGGACTAATTGCCCTGGTGCGAGGGGAAGATCCCGTCGTCTTCGGTCAGCATTCCGCTTAGCGATCTGGTTGGCTTTGTTGATGGCTTCGGCGGCGTTTTGCTGATGCTTACGTAAAGTCTCGACGAAACGCTGCGACCTTGGCGCCGGATTTTCGATCGGTGGCGACAGCGGGGTCACAGGGTCTAGCCCGTAATTCAGGAAGAATGGTGACTGGTTGGTCGTCGCCGAAGGAGCATTATTATACGCGAACTCAATCAAGGGAAGAGATTCTTCCCACTGTGTCGGGTCGGTGCACGTGGTGCGTATCAGCTGCTCCATTGTCTGATTTGTCCGCTCGGTCTGGCCGTCCGATTGAGGATGGTAGGCCGTCGATAGGTGCAGGCGCGTGCCGTACTGGTCCCACGTTTTCGTCCAGAAGTTGGACGTGAAGCGCGGGTCTCGGTCGCTGATGATCGCCGATGGGATGCCGTGGAGGCGGACGACAGTCGCCAGGAAAAATTTGGCAGTTTCTTCGGCCGTGATCGTCGTCTTGCATGCGGCGAAGTGAGCCATCTTGATCAGGCGATCGACGACGACGAGAATCGCGTCGTTACCACTGGGGCCGGCCGGTAATCCTGTGACGAAATCCATCGTCACTTGTTGCCAGGGTCTGGTAGGTGGCGCGAGCGGTTGCAGCAATCCAGCTGGCCGCAGGCGGGAGGACTTCATCAGCTGACACGTGGCGCACGAGGTGACATACCGCTGCACGTCGTGGGTTAACTCCGGCCAGTAATAATGACGACCCAGAGTTTTTGCAGTTTTGTCGACCCCGTAGTGACCCGAGAGGTTTGAGTCGTGGGCTTCCTGTATCAGTAGCTCCCGTAGTAGTCGATAAGCAGGGACCCAAATCCGATTGGTACCGGATTTTAGATAATAGGGCCCTTGCTTAGTGACGAGTGGGCTGTTGGTGCTGGTGGTGAAGAACGGATCAGTGTGGTAGCCGTGGGTGAATAGGCCGGTTAATAGTGGGTTGGTCTGGGTAATCAGTACAGCGGCGGTGTGGGCAGATGGACGGGTCAGGGCGTCGGCGATGTTATTTGCCCCCCGTTTGTAGGTGACCCTGTAGTGAAAATTGGACTCGAGGTAGTCGAGCCAACGGGTCTGTCGTGGGTTCAGTGTCGGTTGTGCGCGAATGAACTGTAGTGACTTGTGGTCTGTCCGTACTGTTACGTCGGCCCCGGTTAGATAGCAGCGCCAGGTTTTGAACGCGTGGACGATCGCCAGTAACTCCTTGTCATGAACCGGATAATTTCGCTCGGCCGGGTTCAGCTTGCGGGATTCGTAGGCGATGGGCTGGAGTCCGTCGCCGAAGTCTTGTAACAGCACCGCGCCGACAGCGATGTCACTAGCGTCGGTGACGAGCTCGAACGGACGGTGAGGATCAGCTATCCGAAGAACCGGCGGGGTCGTCAGAAAAAGTTTGAGTGCGTCGAACGCAGCCTGCTGTTCTCCCCCCCATTCAAAAAACGCGCCGTTCTTCAGCAGGTCCGTGAGCGGGGAAGTCACCCCCGCCATGTTCGGGATGAACCGGCGGACGTAATTCACGAACCCCAAAAAACTTTGGAGTTCCCGCAAATTAGACGGCGGCTTCCATTCTTGAATGGTGCTGATCTTCTTGGGGTCGATTTTAACGCCTTCGACGGAGATGATGTGGCCGAGGAACTCAAGTTCGGGTTTTAAAAACTCGCACTTAGATCCCTTGGTGATGAGGCGATTTTGCTGCAGTAGCGTGAAGACTTGGTCGAGGTCTTTTAAGTGCTGCTCCCGGGTGGTGGAATAGACGAGGATATCGTCTAAGTACACTATGACGCACTTGTCCAACAGCGGCCGAAAAATCTCGTGCATGGTCAGCTGGAAGGTTGAGGGCGCGTTTGTCAGACCGAATGGCATGACTGTGTACTCGTAACTCCCGTACCGGGTACGAAACGCGGTCTTGTAGCAATCTGCCTCGTCGACGCGAATCTGGTGGTAACCCCCTCGCAAGTCGATTTTCGAGAAGAATTGTGCTCCGCGAAGCTGGTCGATGAGTTCGTCGGCGCGTGGTATCGGGTATCGGGATTTAATTGTAACTCGATTCAACGCCCTGTAGTCGATGCACATGCGAAGGCCCCCATCCTTCTTCGGTGTGAACAGGATTGGGGCGGCGAACGGAGACGTGCTGGGCCGGACGAAGCCTTTCTCCAACAGGTAGTCAAGTTGTCGACGTAGTTCCTCCAGCTCAGGTTGCGTCAGCCGCCACTGTGTCCGCACGGTTGGCTGCGCGCCGGGTTCGAGTTGGATCTTGTGGTCCTGGGGGCGCTGAGGTGGTAGGCCGGCGGGCAGGTCATCTGGAAAAATGGTTGGGTATTTCCGAATGAGTTTCGCCATGTCGTCGGGTACGCCAGCGCACAACTTTTCGATGTCGGGGGTATCGTCGACGGTCGTTGATGCGATCCATCGGACGGCGTAGAGTTGTGCGCCCCGAATCATGGCGCGCTTGATCATCACGGCGCTGACCGTCGATGTAGTCGCTTCAGGTCCACTCCACCGGGGTAGTCGTCGCCACTCGCCTCCCCACTTGATGCGACAGTCGCCCGTTCGCCAATCGATGCTCGGGTTGTACTCTCGCAGCCAATCGCGCCCCAGCAGCATGTCGCAGCCATCCAGAGTCGTCGCCAGCATCTTCGTCGTGAAACTGAAACGTTCGCCGCATGTGACTCGAACGTGTGGCACCCGCTCTCGAATCGCCAGTGGTGTACCATCGACCAATCGCGCGTCGATCTCCGGCATGCACCGCTCCAATTGTAATCGCAACTTCTTCGCTTTTGTCACATCCATCAAACTGTGGCTCGCTCCACCATCAACAAATATTTTTATTTTATTATCCCCAACTCTTCCTTCTACCAGCACAGGGTGATCAACAGGTTCACCCCCCTTATTCAGCCAGGAGTGGTCGACTGCATAAATCGGCACTACTACCTGGTGGGGGTGGTGGTGTTTGGGCGACGCAGTCAAGTCAGCAGGTGGCCCATCAGCTATTGACTTTTTCCATTTCCCGACTGCTTCCCGTCGTTAGCTAAGTCCTTCTTAAGCGCCGGGCAGTCCCGCACCATGTGGCCCGGCTGGTTGCAGTTGAAACAGCGACCGGTAAACACCCGGGCTGCCATCGCGTCCACGCCGTTGATGGAAGGGTGTTGGTGCTGGCCTCGAAAACGATTTCCCTCCCGGAAACTCGTCCTCGCGAATGCCCGCCGCGCGTCCAGCGCATCTGCCAACTCGACGAGCTCCGAAAAATTCGCTGGGCGTCGCACTTCAACTTCCAGCTGTATTTCCGGTTTCAATCCCGCCACGTAGCGGTCCATCTTCTCGTCTTCGTTCATGCCGTCGATCTGGTCGCAGAGTGCTAGGAACAACGCGGTGTATTCTTGAACAGCTCCCAGCTGACG